TCGCATTGTTTTGACTTTTTTTACTCGTATTTCCGGTTGGGTTAGCTCACTTCGAGGCTCGAGCTCACAGTCGGTCAAGAAATGGAAATACCGTGATAAAAGAGGCAAATTTGAAGATACAGGCTTGCAAATATAACACTCTAAATAGTGTTTTTGATGGGGATTCGAACAAGACTATTATAAAGACGATATGTTTGAAGGGGCCGAAGTTATTTTCGGCGAAAGGTATGGCTAGTCTATACTTTTGTTCAGACAATTGCGTATTTGATAGTACTAGGCCTACTCTGGGGCGGTAAATCGCCCTAAATCGCCTAAAATCGCCCTAAATCGCCTAAAATCGCATTAAATCGCGGGTTAAAATTGTCGAATTTCTCTTAAATCGCCTAAAGATCGCTTAAGATCGCTTAAAATCGCCAACATGCATTCTGCTTGATACATTCTGTCCATGTACTCAAGCTTATCAATTGCTGCTATTTTACGGGAAAATCATGTAATCCAGCTGCTTTGCAATCAAAAGTAATGTAACATGAATTAGCAATGAAATAAGTGGATTAGGCTGACAATATTTAGTCACCCAATAGGCACCGGTCATTGACAAAAACAGAGCCTTTTTCTGCTTTATGCAGACTTTACAATAATTAGGTAATTCTGGGATCTAAAAGACCCATAGATCCCATACACTACCAGCAACAAAATTGAGCTAGTTACCAGAATGAGCTAATTTCATTATTGGTGTAAATGGAGGCTGGGCTACAATTTATATGGACTATGGAGGCTGGGCTACAAATTAATCTATAATCTACATGGCTTCTTAAAGCCTAATTGCTGTTATTTAGAACAACAGTAGGAGACTACAAAAGTCAATGAGTACGAGTGTTGATTTATATAATAAAGTCATCTTGTAATTTGTGCACTGTTGCATGCAAGATCGAGCACTGCATTGTATGCAATGGTTGTACTTCAATCGACATGTGTATGGTTATACTCTAGCTCCTAGTTATAATTATAGTGGCTATCAAACGAAAAATATACGTGAGGTTATGAGCGATTTGCAACTCTCGTCTATTAAATTTTCCAGACCTGTATACAGGGTGTATCAAAAAAAACGCAACCTCGGAATTTCCTAAGAAATCACTTTGCAATTCTTAATTAAGCATAAAAGATTGTAGGCCCCTGGGAATTGAAATCGAATTGCTAATAGATCATATTACTGTTGTTGTGCATTAAATAAATGCATAAATTTTGCTTTATGCACTCGCGTGTGCAGTAATTTTGACAGTTATGCTATTTTAAATTCCCAGGCGCCTAAAATCTTTTGTCTTTAAAACAATGTCGATTTCTTGGGAAATTCCGAGGTTGCGCTTTTTTTGATACACCCTGTATACAATAAACAGTAAAACAATGATTACATCTTACATACCATACAATAGATCTTTTGTTGTTGTTTGTTTGCAGAACCTAAAACCACGATGTAGTGCGCCATTTGTTTTATAACACTGTATTATTATTTTTTAATTTTAACTAGTAATTTAGAATTCCTACCATTTATATACGATATACTTCATGTAATTTAAACATTACGGCATTACGCCGACAGTTTCCGAATGCTTTATAAATATGTTTGTAGCATGAAGAAAGCACGAGATTGAAACAGTTTAAATAAAATGCAAGCTAAATAAAGAAGTTTTGACATGATACAAAACAAGACAATTTTACTTACAAGGGTGACAAGGTAATTTATAGGATTATAGCTTATTTTGGAAATCAAATATTTATTATATTTTGCAATTTTAACTCGACATAAATTAATAATATTAAAGTTTAAGACATGTGTAGTGCATGCCCCTTAAGTAGAGTATATTAACTGTTTACAATAATTGTGGTATATAATGTAGCCATGAATGACCACATGACCCCACAAGATGAACCCCAATGGCTTCTAAATAGAGAATGGGTGAAAAGTTCATGAATATTGAGCTTTATATGTGAATCAGGTTAAATACAATAATTAGTTAACCTAGCTTTATATAAAATGTACATACATGTTCTAATAATTGTATTTTGCCTCATACAATGCATATATGTGTGTGGAAACATTGCATTATTATTCAGCTCACTCCCCACATTGGGGCTTTTCAGTGACCGATTACATCAAGTACTATGATTACTTATGTTAGCCTAGACTATTTATCTTTACAACAATGAGGTATGACATTACTTTCCTAACTGTGTTTATCCTAACCCACCCTGCCAATTTTGTCCTGTGGGAGGGAACCGGAGCAAAATATAAAATTCAATTCCTTTGAAAACACCTAAATTGCAATCCCTAAAACTTAAATTTTTTTCTTATATCGCCTTAAATCGCCTAAAATCGCAGTGCTTGAAAGTCCCAGTTTTTCCTTAAATCGCCTAAAATCGCCCAAAATCGCATTATATCGCAGCGATTTAAGGCGATTTACCGCCCCAGAGTAGGCCTATAGTATACGATCGCGTTTGACTTTCAAACTCCCGTAAATCGCTACAATGTTAATAATGACTATAAGTATCGTTTAGAATTAGTTGATCTTTTATTTCTGAATCGAATGGTGGTATTTCTGTCTTCATAGCATGTACTGAACCGAAGATATGAAGTTTCTAGCCGTCAACCTCTCGAGGACAACGCAACTGGGGGTGGCTCGCAAAGTTTTAATAGTTAACATGCACCGAAGCACATAAACGAACGTAAAGCCTCATCAGTTACTGAACGAAACAATCGTCAAAACTACAGTTCCCTATTGGCTGATAGCACTCAATCCGTTCTCAACCGTATAATAGCAAGCTCTTATTGGATAAACGTTTGGCATAATTTATTCGCACGAAAGTTGGCAGTGTGTTGGTACAGGTGGGAAATTTGTCTGAGCATGCGCGAGCAAAATGAGTCACGCAATTGAGTGGAATACACGCAACGCGTGTTTACAAAAAGGCACAATCGTGTAAATATTGCCAAATGTTTGTACAAAATAAATGACTGTTTTTTGTTGAAAATGGACATGATCTAAATTAATCATACAGAATTTTTTAGTGACGTTCTATTTCAGTACCCCCCGGCCTGCCATTGTCTCTGGTGGGCTGTCCGTGTGCATTTGATCTGATGTCGAAAAATTTCGAATGTTTACATGAAAATAGGGGCAAGTCATGCATTTTACAATCTCGTAAACTGTATGAGCCCCTATTTTTACGCTTATACCTAAGATATCAAATAAAAATACATGAAACAGAGAACATTTTTAGAACGTTTTATCGTGAGGCCACGGCCAGTTTTTAAAATATCTTTATTTCTGTTCCGGTCATCACTAAAACTACACTAAAGCCGGGCTTGAATATACAACAAATTTTGAATGTCATCAAATTCAAAAATATTTAACGTGTAACCAAAATATGTTCACGAAATCGAAATTAATAGCTAAATTTTCAAACTAGACCCTTCTCGAGCCGGTTTTCATGAAGGAAGTTCAAATTTCGGCCTTTGATTCTTGGCAAAAATTTGACCACAACACGTGCGAAGCAACTGGGTCTCAAAGACTCAGCTAAAACATTGTGAGCCCCTATTTTCCTGACGATATATTTGATACCTACAAACGCCGAAAAGTTTTTTCTTTTCATTTAGCTATATTTGAAATTGAGGCCACGGGCTATTTTTGAGAAAATACAGTTCAAAGTCAAGCTATTCTTACATATTTTCAAAATTTGACAAATTTATCGAGCTTGTATTGTGAACTTAGACAGCTGAAGTTACATGTCATTAAGAAACATAGGATGGAAAATTTGAGGCATATAAAGTTAATTTCAACTTACATTTCATTCTCATATCACGTCCTTCGTTTATTACGGTTTTAAACAAGCCACAGATCGACGTATACGGTATTTACTCCCATGTTCACGTCGCCATATTAACTTCTTCCAATCACTCGATTACAAAACAAATCATCCCAAAACAAAGAATTCATAGTCGACTTTTAAAAGAATAACCGTTAATTTGTAAATCGTTGAATGGAAAGCAAAAAATCGTCAGCTAAAACAGCTTCTTGCTAACTTTCTGCTTTGTTTTGAATGTAAATGCAATGAGCTTTGTTTGTGCCCGCGATTATTTGGTCAGCGACGACAAATTTCCCACCTGTTGTTGGTCATCACATACGATTGCTTACGTACGGAACGTAAACGCGAAATTTGCATGCATGAGATGTTATAACTCGAGACGTCTCGCTCATTCCCTGAAAAACTGGCACGCTTGAGGCATGCCATTCTTTACCTAGTAAACTAAAACTCAGAATATCCGCAGAATGTTAACTGATATAAATTTGGCCGCTGTTTGTACACGAAAATTTAGTTCAATTTCAATGGAATTTGATGACTCGACAGTCTCGTGCCATATCATATGCTGCACTGTATATTCCCAACCAAACACAATTCTGACCTTGCCTCGTTCACTTTCTCGATTTTCTTTTGTCCATAAAGAAAACACACGTACTTCTCAATGACGCTAAACAATTCCTCAGACACACGAGTCTCTGTCCTCAACTGGCTGAAAACGTCTAAAAATGTTGGATTTGCGCTTGCTTGTTTCCAACACAAGGGCTTCCCTTTGCGTAAGAAACCTGATACATAATCATTCCCAGTGAATGCATGGAGTCCAACCAACGCTGTCTTTTCCAAACTTGTAAGACTACATGAATTCAAGTGAAGCAACTTTCTCGTCTTGCCAGATCCGTTGTCAATGTAGATTTCCAAATTGTTGATTGGTTGAATTCCAAGTAAAATTATGGGAATGTCGATATCACCAGAACTTGATCGTACCACACATGTTGTTGGTCGGTCATCACTGTTCCTTGCAGCATGCTGAATCAAATGCGAAATTTTAGTATCAGCCTCCTCGTGGTCTGTTGCAAGTTATCTTTCACAAGAAGAATCGTTTTGTGTTATCTTGAGGCAGACGTCCCCCCCCCTGGCAAAGTATACAACACGTTCTCCCAGATGATTCTTATTATCAACCCACACCTTTTCGATAAGCTCGAACAGTCGCTCTTTGTTATCTCCATTAGCAAGAAACTTTTTAAAATCAGCAGGTACACGCACATCTTCACTTCTAATAACAAATTTGTCGCTATCACCGCGGAGACTTCGTTCACTGTTCTTTATTGATCGAATCTTGTACGTATCGCATGCAACGTAGACAACGTTATATTGCCTTGGGACATCTGAGAAGAGTAGCAACGCAAGATCTTTAAACGTATTTGGTATCTTGACCATGCTACGAATAATGGCTGCGAGGTCAAGAATATAGATTCTATAACTTTGTTGAACTTCAGGAAGTTGCGCATCATTTTCAATCAAGGAAGTTAACGCGGCATTGAACAGCTTGCTTTTGGCGGTTTTTCTTCTGATTCCATCACATGTTGCCATCGATAGTGGAACCGGTGCCAGCGGGTAACATAGAGCTTTATCGATGTTTATCGGAGCATTCTGTTGTTGTGACTTGGCAGCAAGAAGTCCAAGAATATCCCGCTGAACAGTGATTTCCCTAGATTAACCTTTGCAGACACCTTTAGCTTCTTACTTGCGTCCGTAAAACTCTTCCATTGAACTCGCTTTATGGGGCTGAAAAAATGATCTTTAACTGAACATTCCGAGTTCAGTCGCTCAAAGAAATCGTTTCTTAACAATGTCCCACGCTCTTGGACAGTCAAAAGGCTTTCGGCTACGTCGTCTATCACGGAGTTACCAGATGGAAGGTTGTACAATTTGTCGTGGTCCAAATCGCCGCCGAAGGGATCAATAAAATCATTCTTCAACACATTCACGATGCCCTTGACGTTGTTCTCAGATTTAATAATTGCAGAATTACGTAGGTACTTTCGAGGTTTATTTGGGGGTTGTTTAGACCTGCTTGGTTTAAAAGTGCGTCAACATATTCAGCTTGGAATGGTCTTGTGAGAACCCATTTCTCGTATATGCACTATCCAGCGTTGTGAAGTTCTTGATACCACCTATATAATGAATAAATAACCTTGAAATTTTCATGCCAATTTTCAAGGGGCCGAGGATTAAATATAACGACAAAGGAAAACTGTTACCACAAGAGTACCTGTAGTTTTTGAGTTCTTCATAAAGGTTTGCTCACCAGCAACATCAATGGATTGTCTGATGTCCAAGCTATTACGACATACGGAAAATCTCTTGTCCTGCAGCTCTTCCATTGCACCTAGGAGGGTCTCGTTCAATTTTTCAGATTGAAGACAATAGTATGCGCCATAACGTGCATAGTTCTGTTTGTTTGTGGAAAAACAAAGCGATAAGAACTCTCTCCAGCAGTGAAGCCTCAACTGAAAATCATTCATGTTAACTGAAAAGTGCAGTGTGTGTTGCCTTTCAACGAGATCCAGGTAGATCATCCAGAACTGCGCAGTTTTCCCGTGATAACCGTGACGACATTCCATCTTTTTCTTCATGTACTCCTCCTCGTACATTTTAAACGCTCTTTCTGACATAACTTCTTCGCAATCAACTGCTGTCATGATCCCCTTAATCGACGATGCTAATTCTTCTGGACAACGCTTAACTAACGTTTCACAAAACAATCTCTCAATCGCTTCGGCAAAGCATTCATGAATCCTCCAACTTCGGTTGTAATGTTTTCCTGATAAAATACCTTTAATACCTCCGGAGGTACAGAGTCCTGCTTGGTATACAACTTCTTCAAAACCACTGCCTTGCACTATTTTGCCTATGATGGAAAAACATACCATCAGCCCATGAAAGTCACCCAAATGTATCAAGACTTTATCGAACTCCTGTGGATTGTTCCATAGAACGTGGTAGAATTTTTCTGCTGCGCCAGCATCAATCGTTATGTGTGTGTACGTCATATTCGATGTTTCTGCCAACTTCTGTGACTGGAAGATACATTTTAGCACTGTACTGTAGTCCGTTATTGGATTGCGAATTGGGGGCAAGAATGCAATTATTGTGCGTTTACAATTTATTTTCCCAAAAATAAGGCAAATCCAACCAACGAATCTCGAAATGGTTTGACTGGTAGCACTGTAAGCTTGCCGTAGGAGATTCCAGCACATAAGAATTCGAAATGCATCTGAGGCAGCCTAGTCCCAGGCTCTCTCTCTCTCTCTATTCGCTGCTTTGATATATTTAAATAAGTCTTAAAAGTTTTATGCCTGGGTGTGCTGTGCGGAACGCTTCAGCGAGAGAGCCTAGCAGATTTCGGTAAAATGGTCCCTGATTTCAAAAAAGTGGTCCTTGGCCTGGTTACCAAGCATACCGCATTTGTAAATAGAAAATATTATGGAAATTTCCTTTGGGTTTATAATTAAGTCATTAGTTTTGCTCTAATGCTGTCGAAACAATGAAATAGGCTACGTTTCGCTACCATACGGTCAGAATGGAATAACGGGCTAAATATGACTCGTGTTTACTAAAATATAAAGCCATATTAAATGCTATCTAGAAGCTTGAAAATTGTGCCGAGTCTCCGAATAAAAATGTTTTGACAACACAGTCATGTCAGGCAAATATTTCCAATCTCCTCAGCTACTTAAACTTGTTAAGTAGAAAGCGTATTTGTGTATACCAGTATGGTCTAGTGTTGATCACAACTTACGAGTTTATAAATAACATCAACGATTATACCACCATTGCTCAGACTCAGTATCGTAAATTTGTATATAATTTTTTTTAATTGAGCACATTTTTAATACAGTTTGAATATGGTTATGTAGGCATCGAACAATGATCAACGAACATTGTCGTATTAAAAGGTTATTTGTATGATATAAATTTTCCGCCATATTAACAATACTGAAATCTGCTAGGCGTTCTGAAGCACCTTTAGCGGTGACGTCACACCTAGGTTCCAGTCTCGTACTACATCCACGTTTTTTCTCGCGCTTGCTTCAGAACGACTGGAACTAGGCTGCAATACGTGTTTTCTGGTAAGAAATTTGCCTTTGGAGACAGCGTGAATAAGGTCCTGAGAAAATGATTCTACGTACCGTGAAACTTCTTCACCTGGAGCGTGTTCAGTCGAATGTAGTAACTTTGTGAGAAATACTCGTAAGCTTTCTGGAGGTAGTCTGGCTTCGGATTGCAGACTATTGACAGTCGGTGGCCATGGTAGTTCGGGACCAGACTGAATTAGCGCGAGGATATCATCTTTGATAACTTTTGCGGCTTCTTTCAGAATAAAGTCCTTATTCTGGGTCATGAAACTATCCTTCGTTGCATTAGTTAGAACATTTTTACTGAGAACAACTTGAGCCTCATTGTTTGAAACAGTAACAAAGAGCAGTTCGTCGTTGAACTCTCGAAACAGCATTTGTTTTACTTTGCCCCTTAATCGGCAATCTTCTTTGTCGAGACCGTACACTTCAGTAAGTAGTTTTATCGACACAGATTGTCCTCCATCAACAATGCGATCTCTTACAAACTGACAAAGGCTTTCGAATCTTTTTTTGCAGTCGTCATTTTCGTCATTACTCGACGTAGATGCAGAATTTCTGTTAGGCGTCGCGTTCTGTTTTGTACAAATGCGTGTATATCTCTATAACATTTTTCATGCATTTTGAATTCTCTTGCAACAGGTCTTCGTTGGCGACAAGCAAAATTAGTTCTTTATCATCTAGAAGCAGAGCAGCACGTTTTATCGATTCACATGCAGAAATCGTTGTGATATTCTTTGGATACTGTTTTTCCCCTTGATTATTATCGGATTAGAAGACTTGCATTTCATACAAATATCTGGAAACAGGTTACATGCAATTTGACCAGATCTCCGTTGCCTCTTGTCCGGAACATCATTCGAAGATTTTTTTCGCTTTAAAACGGACACAGCATTTGTGAATTTCTGATAACACTCCCGGTGAAAACCATGCGTTTCGGAATCAAGCGAGTCTGGCAAATTATCAATTTGTTCTTTGTGTATATATTCGCCACCTAAAGTACGTCGGGCCTCTGCACTATCTTGTAACTTTTTAAATGTAGCTTCATTAAAGGCACAGTTCAGCCTGTTGAACGATGGTTTTTAAGGCGCATTTCAGACCTTTTAATTGAAAAAACTAACTAGGAAAATCAATTAAGCATAATTCAAGATCACCAAACTTAATGTTTTTAACATTTTAAAACATTTATATTGTTAAAAACATCGAGTTTACTGATTTTGAATTATGCTTAATTGATTTTCCTAGTTAGTTTTTTCAATTAAAAGGGCTGAAATGCGCCTTAAAAACCATCGTTCAACAGGCTGAACTGTGCCTTTAAGTGTTGTAATTTCTTCATTATTATCACCGAGATGTTTGTAGTGTATAACACATTTTAGTTTACTCATTGTTATGCCATCTCTATTAACATAGCCGCCATGTTGCCCGCGAAAAAGTGTATACTTCATATTACTGAAATATAAAGGTTTAAAAATTATGTAAAAGACAATTAACATAGGACACCCTCTCCATTTTTAGAAATTTTTATTGTTAAACTCGGATTAGATGCTCGTTCCAAATACAAAAAAGTTATTTTCGTTTCTAACTACGCTATATATTTTAATTTACATGGATATTTATATGATTTAAAGCGAGACTATATTCCCAATATGGCCAACAGTCCCAGATATATGTTTTTTGTAGGAAATGTATTTCTAGTTGGATTCTGTATTGAAATATGGGCTGGTAGAACTGTTTTTCTTGTCTTCCTAGAAATATTAAAAGGTAATTTGAAGGTGAACGTTTTTACGCGAAAACGAGGCTAAATTGGGCTGTAACTCTTAAAAGCAGCCTCGTCAGCCTGAATAACATCCGGATTCGAATTCTACGTTAAAAATAGGTCTAGAAGATCCAAGTCGCGTAAATTACCCACTCAGGTGATACCTACCTCACTCCCCGCCCGGACTAAAACAGTGTGATTAAGACCTAAATGCTTTTAACCAATCGCACAGCTTTAGCTAAGGTAGCTTTATATGCCTAGGCTTGTTCACTCGAAGAAATAAACGCTTTTGACGAGATCTTTGGTTATTTATTGAACGACATGACTCGACGCTGATTATATTAATTAACATACGGTTATTCGGGTTAAATAGGGGTTACGAAAAAATTCGTCAAAAATTCAATTCTACAGTAAGTTGCCCCAAAAGTTTATTTGATCAATAACAAGCGAAAACATATTTCTTTGATCTGGTTATGAATTTTTTGTCTGAATCGATGTAACAATGGAGATATTCGCTGCCTAATATGGCATATAAAAAAGAGGTTCAAAAATAAAAAAAGATTAAAGAAATCTGTAAAATATTCACTTTTAACAGAAATGTCTCTAAATTTCGTCTGCTACTAAATAAATAACTCTAATTTATAAAACGAAATCATGAAATATTCCCATTATCGTGCAAAATAGAACGATTTTGGTAGTGCCGTAAAATGACCTCTAAAAACCGAAAGTTGCCTGGGAAAACCAATTTCGACGTCTCTCTCCTTAAATATTTATCCGATCGAAATAAAACTTTCACAATATTAATACTTCGTATAGGCCTACGTTCTGACAAAGTTTGAAGGATTTTGAATTTTCTCATTTTACACGTCTTACCTGACTATTAAAGACAACCGCTCTTAAATTAAGCTAAAATTACCTAGATATCATATGTAGATCCAAAAAGGTAAGGTACTAACTGGACTCTTATAAAAGGTCCCATGCAGGGCACCCACCTCCAAAATAGTAATTATGATAACTAATAGAACATCGCGAACTCAAACTCGCTAAAGGATTTCGGCAAGCGAAAATTAAACTGAATAGTTAACTCGAACGTGGCTCTATTTCCTAAAACTGAACATGTAAAGTAAACTAAGAGACAGGTTGAACATGCATGTAAAGGTAAGGGCCAGTTTCCACACAGGAAAATCCCCCGGTGAACAGAAACGGCGGGAGAGCGTTCTTTCATTGTGTTAAATTCACGACGCCACGTCATTCGTGTTGATTAAATTCATTTAGTTCCAAACCAGAGGTTCCAAACGAAATCCCGCAAAACAAACTGAAAACATTCCTGTCAGCTCCGATCCTGAAGACCCTCCCGAATGGTGACTAGCCTTTACATGATAGACAGAAACATATTACAGACAGAGACAGACAAATATACAAACACGACAAACTGACTTAACTATTTCCTGTGGCAAGGACAGTCCCGTACCAGTGACCACGTACAAGATAACTCAACATCATAGACTGACTTAAGGTGGCTCCCTACAGTTCTCTAAAATTCTAGGTATTTTGAGTAACGTTCGCTTTCAACCGAATTTACATTAAACATACTTAAGACTGGGCAATATGATCATTTTCAGGGAAGTTAAGAAGCTTTGTACTGTCCATATATGGACAAGCCATGGAAACTATGTCATGTTATCTTTTGAGCTTTTATTGTGTAATTTCACAATAAATCGACAATATCTTTATTTTCCTTCGGTTAATTTTTTTGAATTTTTTTTACCATTTATAAGTCTACAAAGGAGTAACAAATCAAAATTTAAAGGAAATCTATAAATAAGTTTTCGAGATATTCATGAATAAGTGTTACAGGAAGTTTAAAAAAAATTCACCGAAAGAAACACGAGAAATTCGCCCCTAAATTCGGCGCGACCAGGCGCGAAGATGAAAAAAAATCAACTCGACATGAGCACGATCTGCGCGTGCGCTTACTATATAATGCGTGAACGACACGAAACGCGTGGGTTAACTTACCGACTTTTTTGATTATAAAATTTTCTCAATCATTCAAACTGTTTATATTCGTTCGAAATGCTGTATAATGGAGGCTACGATTCTCGGGGTTTTTGTCACTCTTGGCTTGTTCTTTTTGGATGTTGTTGGAGGCTTTGATAACACAGTGATTAGTGCCTTTCTACCGTGTTTGACAAACAGTTGCATCAGATCGTCGTACGATAATCCGCTGCCGGCAATCTTTTCTGCCATGCTTTTGGTTATTGGTGCCTGATCGGAACTGACTTCGCTGTACAATTTGTATCCGCATTGTCTGAATTAATACTGGTACCGTTTGTCCAAATATCGGGTGTCTTTCAGAGCATCGCCACTAGAGATTGGTTTATAGTATGTGATGATATCCTGCTCGGTCAGATTGATCGGTGAAGAAAACAAAATTCTTCGAAGCGCCATCACATCCTCCTTGGCATCGTGTGCAGCAAATTTCTCGTTGAATAAACCCTCGTAGACCGACGACTGGTTTGACGAACATTTTTCGACCATTTGATTGGGTTAATTTTTCGACCATTTGATTGGGCTGGATGTTTGATCTTTATCAGGTGCTCGAACAATGGAAGACTGTCGCCAAAACAAATCCCTAAAGCTTGCATTTCGGCGTGAATTTCACTGGCCCTCATGTTTCGCTCGCTACTCTGGTTTAAATAAATGATTACAAAGCCCAGTAGAATAGTAATCAAGACCCAACGTTTCGACACTCCAGTCTAGTGTCTTCATCAGGGGTGATGTAAAACTGCGATCGTGGCTTCTTAAATACCCAAGGGATGACGTCACCTGCCAAGAAGATGCATATATTCCTCTGGCAAATCGGCACCGTCATCCCTATTCAAAGCATGATGACTCATATTTATATGCCACGCTTCTAGGCAAAGTCTTTGACCATAGCGATTGTTTGTGGTAATTACTTTACAGTTTTCCCACGCAATCTCGTGTTTGGTGTAACATACATGTTCGGCTAAAGCTGATTTTCCCTTGTCTAAAGTTGAAACAGCCTTTTGATGTTCTTTTAGCAATGTACCAAACTGCCGTTTAGACTGACCCAAATACTCTTTGTCGCAGTCACCGCATGGTATAGAATATATAGCATGAGTCTTCCGATTTGTTTCAACAGGATCTTTTGGCTTTGCGAAAATATGGCCTAAAATCAAATAGGGTTTTAAGGCAACCTTAATATTACAATTACTTAAGAATGTATGGAACTATTGCAAATCGATCTCATTTGTAGAAACCGCAGAGATGACATCATCGACGAAACGTTTCCAAAACGATAGGGACACCGGAACAGAGGCTAAAGCTCTTTGTTCGACATCTTCCATTACTAAATTAGCAATTACTGCCGAAACTGGTGACCCCATCGGCCATCGCTGTTCCAAAAACCTGTTGATAATAACAGCCCTCAAACACAAAGTATATGTGGCGTTGAGACAAAAAGACAGAAGATCAATAATATCTTCTACAGGCAAGGATGTTCTTTGTAACAGAGTGGCATCCTGTCTTAGTCTTTTTGCTGCAACCTTGATGGCAAGATCAACTGGGATATTTGTAAACAAGGAAACGATATCAAATGATACCAACACTTGATCTGCTTTAAGAGTTTTACCTCTTACAAATTCTGCAAAATGACAGAATTTTTGACAGTGTTTTCGGTATTTTCCATCACAGGGGACAAAATTTTCGCCAAAAAACTTGAAACTCCATATGTAGGAGAATTCACAAAAGACACAATAGGTCTCAATGGAATTTCCGGTTTGGGTATTTAAGAAGCCACGATCGCAGTTTTAGATCACCCCTGATGAAGACACTAGACTGGAGTGTCGAAACGTTGGGTCTTGATTACAATTCGACTGGGCTTTATAATCATTTATTTAAACCAGAGTAGCGAGCGAAACATGATTCACTGGCACTGTTACGAAGCAATGTCGGGATGTCGAAACGCCTTGCATTATGGCCGATTACAACTGTACATACACCTTTGTTCGTCCTAGCCTTGCTGGATTTGATGCAGCTGTGAATATAGTTGACAAATCGAGAAGTTGCATCTTGACAGGTAAGTGTTTTTAAAGCTACATCATATTTAAAAAGTGTTCGTTTGCTGATTTTACTGTCTGTTTATTTACCCGTGTGGCATATTTGTCGATGTCTTTGTCAGGCAAAATATACTCGGAAAAACACTTTTGGCCGGTCTTATCAACAGCTGAAAGCTGGCACAACTGGGCAGCTTTACCTGTTGTATTTGTCTCGACATCAAACACAATAATATTGTACTCCAAGTTACTGTCAAATTTATTATTCGGACAAATTGGCCTTGGGGTGAATGGGGAGATTGTTCCTTCATAAACAGTTATTGTTTCCTTTGGTACATTTCCCTTGATTAACTGAAGTAGCCCTGTGATCGATTCACTTCCAGTTATAGTAGCCCCAGACTCTGACTGTTCCAAGTTCATACCAATACCTGATTCATAGGTTGGGCCTTCTTGTTTTTCTTTTCTCGCAGTGCCTTGGATTCTTCGGCTATGAAGTTGATTTCTGCGCTGCTTGAATAAAATTGAGTTTTTTCTGTCGATATCTTTACTTTTCTTTTTCTCCATTTTGCAGGTGTATTTAATTTGCTACAGTTCAATCCAGGATCTATTGCTAATGCTTTGAGTGTGCAACAAACATAACCGTAACCAACATTGGTCTGAGCCACCGCACAAGCCACCCGAAAGTCATTGCTCTCACTTCCACCATATAGTACCTGATCTTGGGGTTTTTGGAGCCTACTGTACTGTTAAATGATTCGTTCCTTTGGGAGTTGGCAGCTGGACCAACTTTTTTATTCATGGTGTCAATGTAATACTGGCTGAAGATGTTTTCAAGGGCTGACTTCAAGGCATTGCCATACAAGTCCTTGCCATATGGTTGATATGTGTGTCTATAGTTGGTGGGGTCTTGTTTATATCTGCACCATGACTCAATGACTCATTGCAACTAGCATGGTCACCAAAGGAATGTGGGACAATGCATTTTAGGGACGACTTCATCGCCTCAAGATCACTTTTGTTTTGGGCAAATACAATTGAAAAGCACTTAACAAGGTATTCAATAACTTTGGATGACAGTGTCGAGCACTCCTTAATCTGTGCCATCTTGCTCAGGTTGTACAATCTTGTTGTGAGTGAGCGTTTAATGTGTATTATGTCACTGAACTTCTCAACACCATAAGGAACTTGTTGGTTTGTATATAATTCAGTTGTCGAGTCATCATCACCGGTATATGTGGAGTATTTAATAACATGTTTTGGAGCATTTTTAAAATGTTCAACTGCAGATATTGGCTCCATGACTTTAGTTGAACCAGTGTGGTTTTTACGGCAATCGTGAACCTTTGCATTTGTACTGGTACGTTGCGCATACTCACAAGTTCGACATTTCTTAACCTTTGTAGCCTAATCAAAAAATTTTCCTGTGGTTTGACTCATGGTAGCAGCTTGACCAGTGTTAGAATTAAATCCCTTTCCCCGTTTCTGCCAGCCCGTATCATAGGAACAAGGAACAGACACTATGTTGTTTTCATCTGGTTCTTCCCCGAAGCTTATCAATTGTTTTTTTCTCATTTGCAATTGTTTCCTGACACGAGACTTTTGCGACAGCTTCTACAGCCTTCCCTGTCTCTCGTTCTCTGGCTTTGAAGGAAGCGTTTCACCATCATGTGTTTCACCAATCCCTGCATGTAAATTAGCCAATGTAGCTCTAGAGTTGATATCATATGCCTTTGGTCCAGACTTGCCAGACTTATGAGATGCTGAGGTATTCATTATATTTTGCTTGGAACAGAACTGGCATTTTACTCTGAACTGACTTGCTAAACCATATTGTTTTTCATCAATAATGTTGGCCAAGGACATTGGGCCTAAATTTTAGAATTTTAAATTGTCTAGTATATGTAGACGTATATAAATAAGTTCGTTCTCTACTACACTAATATCTGGAATTGATATTTGATATTTTTACACAACATTATAAATGATATTTTTACAGGCTATAAGATTGAATATGTTTTATGATGTTATGTTGCTGTTTATACTGTAGTTAGCATTTGTAGTTAGAATTTTGATTTGTTTTGCATAAGAGAGTGTTCAGGTATTTTGTGTTAGTAGCTTGGGAAAAAAAAACAAACAAAATCAAGTGAAATATGTATTTGTTTTGTAAAAAATCAAGTGAAATTTTTATTTCTTTGTTTTGCTTGTACAAGCTGCTACTTTTTAAATTTGTTTTGCATAAGAGAGTGTTCAGATATTTTTTGTTAGTAGCTTGGGCAAGAAAAACAAAAACAAGTGAAATATGTGTTTGTTTTGTAAAAAATCAAGTGAAATATTTATGTATTTGTTTTGCTTGTACAAGCTGCTACTATTTTGATTTGTTTTGCATAAGAGTGTTCAGGTATTTTTCGTTGGTAGCTTGGGCGATAAAAACAAACAAAATCAAGTGAAATACTGTGTTAAATTTGTACAAATATAGACTAAGAGTTGTGATAAAAAATTGTCAAACTGCGCAGCTACATTTTAGACAAAATTGACATTTCTGAATCTTGCCTTTCAAAACATCAATATCGATGATTCTCGCTCCATGTAGCATATTTTCCTCTATTTTCCGTTGTTCCTATCAAGAGCAACCGTTTTACTTGTAAGTTTAGCGAAAATTCTATCGAAATGCAGCGAAATTATTGAATATGAAATTTCTTTTCTTGTACATACGGTCACCGTTCGCATATTTACGAGCTTCGGAACTTTCGGTGGTGGTTCAAACTCTACTCTTGCTGTTTTTCGCCATGAATTTATTGCCTTTAGTAGCCTTTCATTGATGTGGGAAGTATTTATTTGTGAAACTTCGCCAAACTTGCCGTTTGAAAGCAGATTATTAATAAACCGCGAGGCCATGTTTGTTTTGAGATTGCTCTTTAACTTGACATTTAAATTTCCCGCATGTTTCCCGCACGCGCGAAATTTTCCTGCACCCACGAATTTTCCACGCAAACACGAACCGGCATTTTCGTTACCAGTCCCATGCTTAACTAACTATAGGGAGCCACCTTAAGAAGTTCGGTATATTTACGTTTAAGATAGTTTTTAAAGGAGATCGGACTGGCGAATGTATCTGGATGAACGTCTTTGCATATACAGTTCCATGGTTTAACTATCCAGTTGAAGTATGACGATTGAAAGGTCATTGCTCTACACAAGGGTGTTTGAAGCACAACACTAGCAGCTTGACTGAGTCTGGTGCGTCTATGTTCAATGAATGAAACATAACTGTCCATTTTAAGGTCAATGTGGCCATACAGCGTATTGTATGTAGAAGAACACGAGATCTTTGATTTCACTGTCGTATGTGAGAGGCAATAGTTTCAATGTCATTCATCGTTGTTCGTAAAGTATTTCACCAGTCTTTATTCTTAACATCCATATATTTTGTCGCTCGCCTTTGAACTCTTTCAATTCTTCTGTTGAGTTGACTGTGATTATTTGAAGACCAAACTTGTGTTGCATAGGAGAGTTGTGATTTAACTAGTGTCAGGTACAATGAACGTCTGATGTTGGCATTTGTTAATGATAAGCATGTTCATTTTAGCACACCAAGTTGTTTATTAGCTTTCGACACGATCTCATTAACGTAAGTCTCCCAGTGAAGTTTGTAGGAGAGGGTTACTCCAAGATCTTTCTCGTTTTCAACTCTCGACAAATAATGTCGACCTAGGTGGTAGGGATATAAGTAATTGGATCTTTCTTACTTGTCACCGACAGTACCTTACATTTAGAAGCGTTAAATGTTATGTTGTTGTCTTGAGTCCAAATATCTAACTTATGTAAGGTCTGCTGAAGCTTTTTACAGTCCGTTACCGATCTTACGTCCTTGTAAACTGTAGTGTCGTCTGCAAACAGTGCTGGAGATGTTCCATCAGTCACTTCAGGAATATCGTTGATAAAGATTACAAAGAGGACAGGTCCCAGGATACTCCCTTGAGGAGTAGTAATAATATAAACGAGTATGTTTATGACATTCAGTATATAGTTCGTAATTTCCAGTCTTCAATCCGTCCTGACCGTGTAGCTCAGTGGTAGAGCCGGTCGATCTAGTAACTCGAAGATCGCGGGTTCGAAATCCAGCCGCGGCAGGCAAAGTTTTCTGCCTGCGCGTTGTCTTGAAATTACGATAATCTCACTCGAGAACATTTCATCCTTATCATATTTAACTGCCAGCTATTAAATACGATATTACACACACTATGTTTTCTTTCTCTATATTTGGCAAAGTTTTGCTTCATAACATAGCCAAAAATCCATAAAATTCTGGCGGTGCAGCATTTTTTCGCGAAGGCCTGATCACTAAAAAACCAATTGTATTCTAATGATTATAAAATGGGCGACTTTTTAAAAAATCTCCTTTTAATATTTATGACATTGGTCATAACTTAATTAACGAAGATCTTGCTAGTGTCAGTGCGGAATGGTTAGCCGCAAATAGACTTACTTTAAACCTAGCCTGCTCACAGACGTTGTAGTTCTTACGCCAAGCGACGAAATACTACCGTCTGCCTACCCGAGTGCCAAACTGAATTCCGCTACGTCGACCAATCAGAATTTACCTTCCAAATTCTGGAAAGTGACGTCAGTTGATTTAGGAGCGGAATAAATATAAATATATATTTTGAAAGCAGTCGTCGGTTGAATTTTGGTCAAAATTGCACATAAATTGAATTTAAAGATACTGATACTTGTCCAGGTAATAAAATGCACCATTAATGATCATATTTGGATATTAAAGATGTTCGGTTATATTTAAAACGCGGTCAGGATTGGCATATTTAATATACTGTAGGAATCTTAGCCAGATGAGCATCAAATGCCGAATATATTTCGCTGAAATTTTAACGCTTTATCTTTATAAGACAGAAAATTTTATATAATACTGTGGCTTAGAAAGCGAAATATTAGCTTCAAAGTAAACTAATTTGCTGTTTGCAGAGCAACCACTTCTGAATGTAAACTGTAAACACAACACAAACCCGAGAAAATTGTATTAAAATTGCGCCGTGATGAATTTTCCAATTCGCCCAAACTTCGAAACGTTTATACTCTAACTTGGCTACACTTTTCTACATGACAATGAGAGCTTAATCTTTTAGAAGTTTTCGTCGAAGTCATGGCATATAGGAAGTATCAAGAGCAACATTTGGACATATCCTGATATACTCGAGTTTCCCGATTGATTGTTTGTCATTCTAAAAAAAATTTAAATTTAAATTAAAAATTTAAATTTCGCCTACTGCATTTGCTTTAGCACTTTATATATACCGATTGTTTGCTGAACATGCGAGATGATCACAATATTATTCTACGTACACATCGTGAAGTTCAACGCTATAGTTTCCAAAATATATATCCACGCAAGTAAACAAGTTTCAAGTTTCAACCCAGACAATATATTCCAATGCAAGGGCTTTCCCCAGTAGCTAATCTTTCAATAAGGCGGCTTCCAATTGGCTCTAACTTTTTTGAACACTGCCAGATGATTGGCTCCTAAAACAAAGGGAATTGAATATGCAGCTCGGGTAAGCAGACGGTAGTATTTCGTCGCTTGGCGTAAGAACTACAACGTCTGTGAGCAGGCTACTTTAAACCAGGCTTAAAACTGAATTCGTGCTAATCGGATCTCGTCGAAGAATTGAAACTTTTCACTCAACTCCTTCATTCGGTAGCAATACACGCTTTTCAAAAAGGCTAAATAATCAGGTGGAATATTAATTAAGTACGCGGAAGCGAGGCTAGTTGGCCATAAGTTATAAACAAAATATGGCCGGTGCGATAATTTCATGTGTTCTAACAGAAGAAGATATTCCTGGTGCTTCATTATATGGACGAAAACCTGCAGAATTGAGCAATGATGATCTTAAATTTTGGCTGAAATGTCGGGGAGATTCCGGGAAACGACTGAAAACAAAAGCCGAACTTGTTAAAAGGTATACCACTCCCTTACTGTATTTACACTCCCTTACTGTGTTCATATATGCCATTTTTTTCGCCTCGCTAAAATCATTTATTTATGTTTCTAGAGTTGAAGAATACATTGTATCTGGAAAAGATAAGACGATCTCCGACCCTTACCCAAATGGGCTTTATACGAAAAGGAAATTGAAACAAGTAGGCGCATCTTGTAGCTTTGTATCGAACGACAAAAAGGACAACGCTGCACAGTGATCTGTAAAGTATCCAGATGATGGATGGAATAGTGGAATACCTGCTTGAAAAAAATGCCTTTGTTTACAAAGGCGGAAATGACTGAACACATTTCAAGATCTGGAAAGACCATTGCGGGTTTAGAACATCATTCAGTTCCGACATCATTACGAAAAGCAAAAACATTTCTCGACGATGAATATCTATACGAAATAATGGCAACAAGTGATGACAGATATTTCTACTTCCGCGCAAAATGTTATCATAGTTTTAGAAAAAATGACCCTCCCCATGAACTAAAGATTACTTTATGTATTGTTAAAGGAACCGTGATACACAGTAGGTGCACTTGTGTCGCAGGCCAAGTAGGATACTGCAATCACATTTCAGCACTAATGTTAAAGATGTGTAAGTTTAGCTTATTTGAAGCAAAAAAACGACCAAAGATTTGTGTGATGAAAATGATAAAAATCCAACTCTTGCTTGTACGTCAAAGCTGCAGAGATGGCATAAGAAGGGTGGTGGAGAAAATATCCATCCTGAGCCAGCAATGGACGTTGTTGTTAAAAAGACGAAGCTGGAAGAGCGCCCTGACAATACCCGAGGTAAAATGAACCTTAAATGTTTGCTTTATGACGCACGAAAAAGCCAGAATATGATTTTTCTAATGAAAGCGAACTTAAATCCGAACTTGAAAAGATTGACTCTAATTTGGGTTTTACTCAAATCTTAAGCCAAAACTCAGGAGAAAGTCTAGAAATTGTTGATTCAAAATTTGGGGAAACCCCAGTGGGTTCATTCTTGAGCTATCAGACGTCATTTACCGAAGCGAATTTTGATGCTAAGCTGACTTAACATCAATACCAAGAAACAATTCAAACTTTACAACACCTCTGATACATTACCCGAGATTTCCACTAAGTGTTGAAGATTCTGAAATAGACATACCTACAGACCTGAGTGCAAAAGAGTTGAAACTTTTAAACTATCTATCAGTCAGCGAAGAGAAAAACAATTTGATTGAAAGTAGCACACGATCACAAAGTCTTTGGGCTAGCTGAAGTTAAATGCCCATCTACTAAATTTAATGTTACACCACTGGAATGAATGCAT